TTTTTAAAAGATTGCAACGATCGTTTTACATTTTGAAGAATCGAAGAAAACAAAATCATTTCTGAATCAATTAAATACTTTATTAAATATTATTATCATGATCCTAATCATGATGAATTGACAATACCACATGATTTTCGAAACTTTTTTGGATGGCGATTTTACCCCGGTCGTTAAATTGTGATTCTTCATTTATGATTTTAATACACATAAAGATTGTGAAGGTCGTGATATTTGGTGTGAATATGAAGATTGGGGAGGTTGTGATATTTTGTGTAAAGCCTCTCCCTAAATGCTTTGCTAAATGCTTTGACTTGATCACATTCCGATTCATAATATTTAGTGGCACCATCTATGAGATCTTGTGTCCACGTATATATATGTCTGAAGGAATTTCTAAATTTCCTTTCCGAGATCATTTAGAAACTTTCCAAAGACATCATGATAAAGAAATATTGACGGACTAGTATTGAAGATTGTGATTTGTTGGAGTTCTCGAACTTCAACATTCGAAAAAAATTCTCCAGCACGCGGATGATTAAGACATGGAGCAACCTTATTGGCTCTGAGGTCAATTATACCACAGCAATATGGTAAGGTTATAAATTCTGCGAATATGCAACCTTTACGAAAAAATATGGCGTATCATCTAGGATTCCTGAGCATAATGGGTGGTCATATCCTAACTTCTCTATATCTACATTTCTCCACATGTCTTGTGTCTTCTGATGACAACTAATTATATATTCATTAGTTTATTTACAGATAGTTTCTTAACCAAATCAATATTTTATAAAAAATAAAACCTGATTCACAAATATCTTTTCTCATTATACACGTCTTTTTTATTATTATTAATTATTAACGTTTATCTATTTTTTTTTGATTTGGATTTACGTGACGATTTTGAATTATTCTTGCTATTTTCTTTGTTTGTGTTAGCGTTCTAAAATATATAATAAATGATAATGCTTTTAAATTTTCAAAGCTTTTTTTCGCATCAACCACCCAAGGCATTTTCTCATTCTATAAATATATATATATTATTATAAAACTTGATTGGATTTTTAGCACATAATGAATAAACTTACCAAAATGTTCATTTCTATCAAATAACGAATATATTTGAAGTGTGTCCAATACCTAAAATAGTCAAACAAATAAATATAAAATTAATTATGCAGTAATTTTCATGTATATGTGATCAGATTGGTTTTTTTTGCTCATATGAATTTCAGATTAGCCGGCTAATAATAAAATATACCTCTTAAGAATTTGTTTATGCATATATAAATAGCTACTCCTGACGCCCCTTCGACATTACTCAAGTCCATTCGCTATTCATATGAGTGCTGCCAAGGGAAAAAGGCTGTTCAGACTTTCGATTATATTTTGTGTACAGTTAGCCAGCATAGCGGGCTTTCATTCCGATTGGCTAATTTTTGTAGATCATTCCGTGATTTTACAAGATATGATTGGCC